AGTTTCTCCAACAGAATTAAATACAGCCACCGTGGCATTTGGCTGGCCTATTGGACTGGCCACTCTAGCCGATGAGGTTGGAATTGATGTGGTCTATCACGTGGCTGAATTTCTTTCAACTTCTTTCAAAACGCGAATGGCTGTAAGTGTTCCTGGGTAACCTTTTTGCAAAAGCTCCACCTATGAATTTGTACAGATCCTATTAGACCACCTGCGTTGAGTCCGACCATGCACTAGTGCTGTTACGCTCCACTCTTCGACTCATCGGTCGTCGACGGAAATCGCCTCCTCACTTAGCTCACTCATCATTGTCTGCGCTATCCATCTGTTTGCGAACGTTATGGGGAGAAGCTGGGGCCGGAGCTAGGTGAACCGCGAAACAATGGCGTTGACCAACAGTGGGATCAGATAAGATTTGCGATGCATTCAGCAGCAAACTTTGCTTGTGGGACCTAGCCCGAAGTTCACCCAAGAAATTGGATCTTTCAGGAGTTAGTAATCCTGATGGTTCAAAAGCGAAAGGTCCCAACCAGGTAGAAACAACAAAAGGACCAGGGGCGCCTGCAAAGTCAACTGGTGAAAAGCCTTGGGAAAGATCGCAAAAAATGGTGGTCCAAAATAATTAGTGAAATGGAGGTAACTTCTGCATCAGGAATAATCAAACAATGTTTAACCTTTTACGCGGCACCGGAGGTCGTCGCATACCGGTCAGTGCGACCATTTGTGATAAAAGTGGACAGAGTGTCCACAATAAAGAAGAACGACTTGATCGCTGGGTCGAGTATTTTAGTGAACAGTTCAATAGGCCTAATACTATTGCGGCCACGGAAACCCCATGAGCGGTAACATGTTACCCCCATAAGAATTGGAAGTGCGATGATGCATTCAATCATTAAAGAAAGATAAGGCTGCTGGACCTGATTGGCTTCTCGCTATTCTTTTCAAAGTAGGTGGTGATTCTCTTGTCGACTCGATGACAAGCTTACTTCGCAGCTTTTGATCAGACGAGCGTATCCCTTTTGTCGCGGGGTGAGTCGCTGATCGTTCCGGTCTTCAAGAAGGGATCACGCAACGACTGTGCAAACCACCGCGAGATTAGTTCAATTCCAATGATGAAAAAGTGTTGACTTCTATAATACTTTGTCGCCTGACACCCTTAAGAAAGATGAATACCCGCGAACAGCAAGCTGGATTCCGACCAGGTCGCGGTTGCATCGACGAATCTTCATTCTGCGTCAAGTCCACAAATTGCGTCACACACATCTTCGGCCAACAATTACATTGTCCCTTGACTTAATAGGAGCCTTCGATTCAGTTGAACGTGAAGCTCTTCCGTCGTTACTCCTTCGCGAAGGAATGCCGCAGAATTATGTAAACTTATTGCGGTCGCTGTACCTGCATGCTTCTGGTAGCGTGACGGGCTAAGTAATTCGTTCTCAACCAGGAACAGTGTTCTTCAAGGATGCCCTATTTCGCCATTCCTGTTCAATTTCGTCGTAGATGAAATACTGGGGAACGCACTTAGTGATCTCCAAAATGTTGGTACTGAATGGGCAGCTGGGGAAAAGATCTGCGATTCAAAATACGCTGACGACATCGTTTGCCTGTTCGAATGTATTGAGGATGCGCAAAGCGTTCTTGACAGATTTTCAAGTTCTGGAGCTCTCTTTGGCATGCGCTTTGCACCTTCAAAGTGCAAAGTGATGCTTCAAGACCCAGCGCTGATGTTTGATCGTCATAAATTGGCAGAAGTGGAATGTTTCACCTACTTAGGTAGCTGTGTGACAAATGACAGTAGCATAATCAATGAAGTAACTGCCCGCATTTCCAAGGCCCGATCAGGTTACGCAAGACTTAAACACCTTTGGTGCAGACGCGATGTTTCATTGGTACTGAAAGGCCCGTATACTGCGCCAGTGTGCGGTCAGTTAATGGTTTCACCAACTGAAAATGAGACAGTTCTTCTCTATGGTTGTAAGACCCTAAATTTGCGCGTTGAAGATATTAGTCGTCTAAAAGTCTTCGATTGTTGATGTTTACGTAGTTTGGCATGGGCTGGATGGAGCGAGCGTGTGAGCAGCTCTGAGATAAGGCGTCGTATTTGGTTGACTCGATGGAGAATTCGTTCCATCGAATTCAGATTAGTGGACTTCGCTGGTTGGAGAAGGTATTGCGTATTGCGTATGCCCAGCTGTCCTCTGCCGCACCGCGCTGTATTCGCTATAGACTTTCCGGGTTGGAGGATACCACGTGGAGTTCCAGAGATGACGTGGAGACGACGCATGAAGAAATACACTTCAGGTAGGTAGCTCTTAAGGAGAGTAGTTGTCTCACACCTTCCAGTTTGGGGTCCGAAAGACTGCAACTGGCTGGTTAGAGACACTGAAGGATATGGCGACTAACCGACAGCAGTGACGTTCTTGTTATTCCTTATCAGGCTATAATGCTTGAAACGGTATGCATGCACACCTAGATTGTGTACTCTTCGTTGACCATAGAGGTTCACTTCACTGTATCTCGCTATTCGATGATGATGATTTGGTTGTGTCCACCTAAATCTGTTCTTTTCTATCCAGTATCGTGTAATAGGTAGAAGATTATTAGCGTTACTTCCTGGTCAATCACTTGAATATATCATGGTCTCAAGAGGCCATTAAGCTATATTACGTGTGCTACAGAACCGACAAAACAGCATTTAGGGAGTCATTGTCAGATAGTGTCAATTAAAAGGTGAACAAAAGTGCTTTTTTATTGATTGTAAAAACCGAACTGAAATGAACAATGTGTTCCGTTATATTTTTATTCCAATAAAAACGCTTATGCATGAACATTCTCATTCTTGACGCGTCTAACCAGAACATGCTGTTTGTTTTCCTTTTTGCCGGTTGCAACATTAAGATAGCGGATCTTTTCGTTCAGAGGTGGCTTTGTCCCGCTGATGAAGACGGATTTGAATTCATTCNTGAAGACGGATTTGAATTCATTCAAGACTGCCGGTGTGTGCTTGATCATTGTGTTAGTCAAGGGGTATATGTTACCTTGTGACTGACTACACCCACTCTTGAATACAAAGGAAGTTAGCAATCAGATCTTTCTTCCCAAGATAATCGACGCAAATATGTAGAACTTGGTTGTTATCAGGCGACTACCTCGCTCTGTTCTCGAAACTGCTTTTTTTCTCTTTTACTCTACTAGGGAGGCGATATCAAGGTACTCAAAGAGATGGTTGCTGCTGGGATGTTAGGTCGCAAATCCGGAAGAGGCATATTTCATTATCCCCAAAACAAGTCATCAACTTATTTGGAGAATAACGAGGTGTTGACACTTATGGAACGATTCAGCATCACACCGAAAGCCGAAAATACTCGAGAGCGAATTCAGTACAGATTGTTCTCACGTTTCGTCAATGAGGCTGTGCTCTGTCTGCAAGAAGGTATTCTTGTCAATGGTCCAGTTGATGGTGATGTTGGTGCGGTATTCGGTCTGGGCTTTCCGCCCTGCCTTGGTGGTACGTTTGGCCTTCCTCTGCGCGTTTTTGTTTCGTGTCATTTTATTATCTGGCATCTGCCTTATGGAATAATTCTTCGTTCATGTTTTACATCAAACTTCGACTTGTAAATTATGACCTGCCAAATTCCTAACTCCGTTGGATGATTGATTTCGATCATGCTTTACTACTTCAGATTTTGTCGTGGTTGTTGGTGTACACTGTAAATATCTCCAGCGGGTGGCGTGATGAAGCGTGTGATACACACACGACTCGCATTCGTTTCGCTCTCATCTGTTTGCTAACTTCAAACAGGAATTTGCCTAAAAAACTATTGGGAATCGCGAAACCCTTCCGCTATTTTCCTCTGGAATACGGCCATGTTTTGGGATCATTGTTTATTCACATATATAGATATCACATGCTACTTTAACCATCTCCATGTGCAGTGCTTACTGACGGGGGAAGTGTGTACCCGCTCACAATTGGCTTTAATTGTGTCACATGTTTATTTTGGTGAAACTTTGTTGATCAGACGAAAAACCCATAAGAGTAAAACAAGTAGTAACTGCCTATTTAAGACGGTTATCTCACGAATGAGATTTCTTTGAAGTTATCTGTTCCCGTCTCATTAGCAAACTACCCGTTTGCAATATGCTATTCCATATTCCCTTCATTTTGAACTACAGTTTGAGTAAGTTTAATCCAGGAGACCACGACTAAAAATCTCAGTCTTTTCATCTAATCGGTCCCAGTAGCAGGATTGGATTCTGTAGTTTGAAGGCCTGTTGTGTGTGAGCAGAGGATGATCAAAGAAATCCTGTTTCAAATCCTTTCGTCACCTCTTCCATACGGTTGGAACGTCGCAGGAATAACCTAGTATCCTAATTCAGATAGACGGAAATATTTGTTTCTTTGGATGGATTAACGTTCGCCTATCTTTCTAATGGGAGTCGGAAAATCGAGCGTGCATTCCCGAAAACAGAAGCCATGATAGGAACGGCGAAAGATCTCATTCAAGTCAAGAAAATGTTTATAAAGNAGTCTTTTCATCTAATCGGTCCCAGTAGCAGGATTGGATTCTGTAGTTTGAAGGCCTGTTGTGTGTGAGCAGAGGATGATCAAAGAAATCCTGTTTCAAATCCTTTCGTCACCTCTTCCATACGGTTGGAACGTCGCAGGAATAACCTAGTATCCTAATTCAGATAGACGGAAATATTTGTTTCTTTGGATGGATTAACGTTCGCCTATCTTTCTAATGGGAGTCGGAAAATCGAGCGTGCATTCCCGAAAACAGAAGCCATGATAGGAACGGCGAAAGATCTCATTCAAGTCAAGAAAATGTTTATAAAGTCTATAGATGGACGTTTTCCGTTGGATCGTAATAAATGTGTTGTTCAAACAAGCGGCGAAAAAGGAACTAGTCTCACGCATGTTCATGTTTGCGAAAGACAATAATCATGTTAGTGATTAACCAAAAAGCGAGAGAAACAATTAATTATACTGCTCTCATAAGCGATTATACGAACAGGTAAAAGTTCGGTTTTGAGTGGGTCCGATTATTCGGCATACATTTAACCGATTTGTCATACAGAGAAGCTATCACGATGAGACTGCGCCTTGACGTGTTGTGATAGCTTGCGTGCCGCCATGACCCCATGACACGATGGCTCCTCACAGCCGCAGATCCAATCATGCCTGAAAGATCGATGGGTAGAGACCAGAGGAAGGCCAGTCTCACAAGGCCAGCTGCTTGGGTACCTTATGGCTTCTCTTCAATGTCCACTCTCGCCCCTGGAGATGTCACTCCAGAAAAAAACACGAGGGGCAGTTTACCGATAACAAAACCGCGCTAGATGGATGTAGGAGCTAGGCACCTGGGGCTTCCTCCTAATGGTGGGAGAAGTCTTCGCATTTCACTGGGACAGCTACCGCCCGCCCGAGCTAAGCAGCCCTCAGCCAATAAAGTGCTTTCCCGTCCACGATCCGCTTGTCCCATTGGGTGTATGACGCTGAGGGCCGATGCGGAACAGCCGACCGTCAACCAATGCATCAGCGAACGACAAAGTTAACCGAAATTCAAAGGCTTTGCGTGACAGGTCCGACATGGGTGTTTTTTTTTACGCTCCCGCATTGGATTTACGTCCCACTGCCTTGTGGGGCAGACTTTTGAATGGAAGGCTCCGGTTAGGGTTCCCAAAGAAAAACTCCTTTATCATTGTGGGCCAATATGAAGTATGCCGTGTCCCAAAGTCAAAGGGACTCATTTAGAAAACAATCTTTCGCAACTGTCAATTTCCTCTTCCTACTTCCAAACCTTAGCAAATGCATCCTGTTTGCGCCACCCATCGGATTTCACCCAGCGTTTAACTCAGAGCCTATCAGATTTTTGAAACCAAAATTTCCTTTCCGCTTAGCCGAATTCAATGTAGGCACACTCTACCAGATCGGTCAACAAGCTGCCTTAGCTAAAACCCTTGAAACCCTCCTATTAGATGTATGCTGTGTCTCCAAAACTGTCGCTGTTGTTGCTCAACACTCGCGGATGCAGACCGTGCTCTGCTACGAGCGAGATTCTCCGTACACCTTGTTTTAACCGCAGAAATACCTTCGAAAACGGATGCTCACTGTTACAGTCTCAGTCAGGCTAACCCGTAGTTAGCCCGGAGGACAAGGCACAGAACACGTTTAGTCCAGAGCACGTAGCTTTACTGAATGATCATGCGTCTCATGACAATCTACAATAAGACAATGACTAACAGGTCAACCAATAGGAATGAGTCGTGGTGTCTGTGTGCGAATGGATGAGCGCCCGCGTATGTGCATGTGTATAAGGGTGACGTAACACTGGTCTTCATCTGAGAGATAAGCACCGGCGAGTGCGACGGACAATTGATCGATGGCATAATTGACGTTAACACATGTCACAGCCACAATACAGTATCAGCAACGCTTGCAAATCGGCGTTAGAAGCGGAACTATTGAATGCCCTCTGAGATCGACCATCAACCGTGGAACTCACTGAACACGGGAAAAGTAAGGGATCTAAATGTCGATCATAACGGCAAATGCTGGCGCACGATGAAAACAAAAACGATGAATCTCGCCGACCTTCGTTCCCTTGCTGGACGCTCAGAAAGCCATTCCTTCGGATTCAAAATACGACAATGCGCGCCAGGTCATCAAGAGTCTTAGGAATGTCCGCGAGAATTAGTGGTTAGTAAAGTGTAGAGCGAATAAAAAGGCTGTGGCTGTCGCTGATAGTCGGGATCTTTTTCGTTTAATTAAGAGTACAAGACCAAGGAAAGTAGCCATAAGTGAGGTTATTAACGAATCCGACGGCACGCTGATGCATGTTCAGCAATGCCTGGCAGAACATAATAAGACCTCTACCTACCCGGTTCAACTGTGCAAAAAGTGTAGGTTGACATCAGTGCTTCATCTGAAATGGAGGTTACCTGAGAAATTAATTATCTCAAAAGGTATAAGCCCCCGACAGGCTATCCCCATCGCTTTTTAAGGATGTAAGTTCAGCCTCGGTTTTCGAGTTAACGAAACCTCTGGACTCAATGTGGGAGAGGGAACAATTTTCAAAACGGTGGTCATACCGATTTACACGAAAGGTGATAGGTCCTCTTGCGAAAACTGCAGAGGAATCAGTTGAATCAACATCGTCTCCACACTACACGCTGGTAATATACTCCGTCGGTTGTCTGCCGCACGTGAACGGTTCAGGCGTCAGAACCAGGCTAGTTTTAGGCCCGGTCGAGGTTGTATCGACAACATCTTCACTCTTCAGATTCCAGAACACAGACTCTTTTCGTAGACCCACCATTTCCATCTTCCTCAACCTGAAAGCGGCTTTCGACTCAGTCAACCGCTCTAAACTCTGGCGCTGCTCCGCTCCGAGAAGTTGATTTCAGTATTACAATTCCTTTATAGCAATAGCCGAAAACGAGTGCGAGTTTACGGTACTTTATCACCCGAGAACACGCAAAGTGGTGTTGAACAGGGTTTGAAAACCCTAACTTAGAGACTGGATCATTTGGGTCCCGTTAGG